CATCACCATTCTGAAACAAAACACATAATTGTCAGGGTCGTATGTCACCTCAGAAGGTCTCACATACTACAAGTTTCCTGGTTTTATCTTGTCGCTCCTTGACTCGAGTACGGATCCTCTGCTTTCAGTAGTACGGGCCCATACTACCTTCCACATTTGTCCGTACTTTCCTCAAGGATTGCTTCGACTTTACAAAGTCCCCTCTACTACTGCTGCTTTCTATTACTCTCCTCATAGGCTTACCCTAAGGAAATCTCCAATCCTAAACCCAGTCCTTAGCTATTGAAAGACTCTTCATAATTCCAATTAACCACTACATGAATACCATCACATGTGACGAGGCTTGGATAATCCTTTGAGTAAAAGACTCATCCCTACAACGGTTAGACTCAGACAAGCGTTGTGCAATAGGGTTAAGTCCAACACTCTGAGATTATTCAACCATGATCACATGTGACTTAACGCATTCATCTAGTAGCTAACTCCCATTACTTAAAGTCCTTTAAAGCACAAAGCAAGCAACATTTAGACAAGCGGGAAATCTAACCAAACAATCCGTTCTATCCACTTATTAGGAATCTACACTAGCATGCAATTCTAGGGCTCATATAATCAGGCATAACCTAAACAGACCATCCTACTACTGGCTGATTAGTTCTAGCATTCAATTCTATAAGTTCACATAAGCATACAGGCATGTCTCTTAGATCCTTAGCCATAATCTAGCATGCAATTCATATAATCATATAATGTCACATATCAAACATGTATTGGTATTTTGGGAACCACTTACTTGAGCTCGGTCGATTGCACGCATCACACACCTTGTTCTTTTCAAAGTTCTTTTCTCTTTTCAAATACTTTTCAAGTCCCTTTTGAAAATTTTCATATCAAGCCCTCAGTTTGAGTCTAGACACACCCGAGAGTGTGCCTGAATCCCTCAAACCAAGGCTCTGGTACCAACTTGTAACATCCTAAAATTCAAGACCAAAAATTTCGTTTTGATTAATTAAAAACCGCTAAATAAATTTTGCTCAATCATTTAATAACATTCTCAATAATACATTTATTAGAGTTTTAAATCCCTTAGATCATCTAGTGCGGAAAACATGGTGTGATGCGCTGTGATTGCCCCGAGCTCCTTCCTTGGAAATACATTAATACCTGAAACAAATAGCTGAAAACCGTAAACATGAAGCTTAGTGAGTTCCCTATATACCACCATGCATATCAACTGATCCATACATGCCATACGTAACCATGAGCCATGCATAACAAACATATCCATAATCAAGTAAGGTGCTATGTGCCAAACATAGTCTTGCTGTTATGCCACGGGCTGCACGTGGTCTTCCTTGTCAAGCCTGGGCCACTCCCTGGGTCTTACAAAAGAGTGCCAAGGGATACCCCTTGGTCTTCCATGCAAGCATCACAAAAACAACGATACATACTACTCTACTAGGCTACTCAGCATACGGTGTGCCAGGAGCCACCTCCTGGTCTTTCATACATAACAACATATAATGTGCCAAGAGCCATCTCATGGTCTTTCATACATATTGCCTAGGGTTAACCCCTGGTCTTCCTACCATACATAAACAAATACATTGTGCCAGGAGCCACCTCCTGGTCTTTCATACATAATGCCTAGGGCTAACCCTCGGGTCTTCCTACCATACATAATAGCATACTGTGTGCTAGGAGCCTCCTCTTGGTCTTTTATACATAATGCCTAGGGCTAACCCCCGAGTCTTCCTACCATACATAAACTAAATGGGTCGGCATTGTGGTCGTAGACCCATACAAACAGTGAGGAGACGCACCTCACATTGTTGAAGACTTGTTAAACACTTCTGACTGCTAACCGGCATTTCTAAACTGCTGACCCTTCTGCTTCTCGAACTATCAGTACCCAAAACAACATTTAGACCATAATAATCCACAAGTCAACCCTGGTCAAACTTGGTCAAAGTCAACAGTCAAAGTTAACCTCCAGTTGACTTGACTCATCGAGTTGATCTACCAACTCGTCGAGTCCATACTCCTCCAACCCCATACAACCCCGAATCCACTCGTCGAGTCTAGCAATAACTCAACGGGTTCTCTTTCAACCATACAATCGGGACCAACTTCATCCGACTCGCCAAGTTCGACCTTGAACTCGTCGAGTTCATCATCCACATATGAATGTGTCTAGCCTGTGACTCGTCGAGTTGTATGAACAACTCATCGAGTCCATCTTCATAACTAAGGAGATTGCCTTAGACTCATCGAGTTCTTCCTTGAACTCGTCGAGTATGATGAACTTCATGATCATTATGGACTCGGGCCGACTGAGTCCCTTTCCAAGCTCACTCATACCCTTAATAGAAGGGTTTTGGGGCAAGAACTGGCCTGACTCGCCTAGTCCCACAAATGACTCGCTGAGTCTCTCTATGTTCAACACTATTAAGACGATTTCAGACAAGCTTAAGGCATCCAAGACCCAGATCTGGCCTCCTAGGGTCGTGATATCACACAAAGCCACTACCTTTGCACCCATGCATGACCCTTTTTGCTCAAAAGCCAAAATAACTCCTTAAACTTTGCATGGAGAGGTATAATGGCATAAAACTTCCATCTTTATGCCTCTACTACTCTGAACACCTCTAAATCTAGAAGGATCTAGCTTGGGGACATCCAAATCCCACAAGACATCCTTCTTGGACCATAAACTCCATAAAAAAGGAGATAAATATATCTATCAAACTAGAAGTCAAGGTGAGAACTTGATTACCAGAAAATGAAGAAGATGAAGCAAACTTCCTGGATCTACAACCTTCTCCTTGGACCTCCAACCTCCTCCTTCTTCTTCTAGACTTCAAGAACACTCTAAATCCTTCAATAAAGGCTCACACACTCAAAGAGAACACTAGGGTTTCGTGGGGCAGGTTATGGACAATGGAGGCTACAAACGAGGTTGATAGAATGAGAATAAGATGCTTAAATAGGGCACCAACTCCCGATTTAGGGTTTTCCCAAAACCTGGCCAACTCGCCGAGTCAGGGGACTCGGCGAGTAGGTCACTTAACCCGCAACTAAAATCGCGCTCCTACTCGTCGAGTCACCCATCTACTCGACGAGTCACTCCCTTATTTGAGGTTTCCTTTCCTTTCTAGGCCTCCTGAATTCAGTGTGTTACATTCCTACCATCACATGAGGGCCAAAAGAGCTTGATTTTCTTGATATTCAACCGAAGGGCCAATTTTGGGTCAATAATCTTAATGATGTTTAACGTTTTGGCTACCTCCTCCTAATCTCCAATAAATATGCCATCATCAATGTACAATGCACGTAGAAGGAGCTTGTAATTATCTCTAATATTATGCAAAAGCAGGTGCAACACAAAGGCAAAAAGAAGTGGTCCCAATGGGTCTCTTTGCTTAACTCCAGTAGTAGACCAAATATGCATGTCTCCTAGAAACAACTTGCTCTTTGATTATATAGGAATTCAACCCACAAGAATATAGAAGGACACCTCACAATAATACGGATCTATAACTACTTTTATTGTTTTCAAAATATCTATGTTTAGGTTAAAAAAAAAAAAAACACTCTGGACGAAGAGGAGTAACCGCAAAGCAAATAGTTGAGGGGTTGAGGGACAGAATTTAAAAAAGGCGATGATATTATGTATTTCTACTTTCTCACCTCAAGAAATCTCTTGTTTCCATTTGAGTCTCAAGATTAGTTTAAAACGCATCCTTTCTCTCTTTCTCTCTCCTCTCTTTGCTTTCTCTCACCGAAGGCTTCGTCTTTGTTTCTCTCTCCTCCGCCCTCTGCCTAAGCGTTTTCTTTCTCTCTTTTCCCAAAAGAAAAATAAACATTCGGCTACAATAGTAGAAGAAGCAGAGCTCCCATCATCACTGTAATTTGATTCCCCAACTTATCCTTCTGTTTTGATTTTTCTTACATAATATTTGAACTCCAATTCTTCTCCTGTCGATATTTTATCCAAATTATTCCTCTTCCGGATCCACATTTAAGATTTCTTGCGCCACTTTCACTCAACCCGCAAAAATCTCATCGTTCATAGCGAACAAACGAGGTAATTCTTTTCATTAAATATTGTATAATTTATCAGCGTGATAAGGGTTATTGCATGTTTAATTAGATCTCAATTGGGTTTTGTTTGTTCGTTTTATTGTATTATCCGCAGGTAAATTGGATAATTTGAAGTTGGTGGCGGTGTATTAATCTGGAGTGAAATGCTAGGGTATGGTGGATTGTCAGGGTTTTACAACCTATTTTGGGTTTCTTGTGATTACCCATCTGGTTAACCTATTGAAACTGTGAGTTTTCCCTCTACTCCTTCGTTTCTTCCCATAGAGTTCCATATTCTTTGATGTTTTTTAGGGCTCAATCGTTTAATTGACCGATTATCTAGTTTCCTGACGTGGGCCCCGTAATTTAAATATCTGTTATATGCGAGATTCTGCCTTTTGCTGTTCAAAAGTTTGCTTCTTAACTAGAATTGTTTATGGCATTGAGGTGCGTGAAATAGTCTTTCTACTGTTGACACTAGACGCATAGGAGAGGGATTGATCTGCTATATGATATAAAAGGATAGATTAAGCTTATAGTTTTACTGTGGTGCTTTCTAATCTAAGAAGATAAAATTTTGATATCATGAAGCATCCCCTAAAAAAGATGTTATGAAGTGATGTTACATTGTCATCAATAGGACAAAATTTGCATTTTCATGTCTCACCCCAAAAAGGTGGGACATGGATTCTCATGTCTGTGTAAAAGACATATATGCCCTCGTCACCCTCACAATCAAAGGTAGCCATAGAAATCCAGTAGGAATGCATTGGACTCACTCTCAATCTCACATCTATGCAAAAGACATGAATACCCTCCAAAACAAAATAAAATTCTTGATATGCATTAAGCATATATAGTGTTGTTATACATAAGATTAACATGTTTTGCATATTTTTAAGGATTGAAAAGAGGATATGGCTCTTCACAAGAATGTTCCTCCCAATGAGCCAGCTAGTGGGAGTTTAAAATCGTTGACTTTTTCCGGAAAGGTGAAGGAGAGAAGTCAACTTGTTGAGATGGAGAATAAAAGAGGAAATGAAGGTGAAGCAGATATTGACCTTCGAGAGGTGTATTTTCTGATTATGCATTTCTTGTCAGCTGGGCCATGTCATCGGACATATGGTCAGTTTTGGAATGAGCTTCTTGAGCATCAGTTGTTGCCTAGAAGATATCATGCTTGGTATTCAAGAACTGGTGCTACAAGTGGAGATGAAGATGATGATGGCAAGTCTTTCCCTTTGAGCTACAATAAGTTGGTGGAAAGGTATCCTATCCATCTTTTATTTCTTTTAATTCAACTTCATTTTCTATATTAAATCATCGGGCTAAAACCTAGAAAAAGTAATGTACTTCCATTTTGTTTGTTTATTATAGCATCCTACTTGTGTTTCCTTCTATTATACCAAAGTATAGCTATTTTTTGCATTTAACCCTTCAATCATCAGCTATAATTGCATACAATAGTTCTTTTCAAACATTATTGTGATGGGTGATCTGAATCTTGTTTAATTTGTGTTTGGTTAGGTATCCTCACATAGAGAAGGATCACTTGGTGAAGCTGTTGAAGCAATTGTTAAGTGGTGCAGCTTCTTCTTCTTCTTCATCATCATCACAGGGCATCATTGTACATACTCCATTGAATGCTGCTGCTGTCCCTACTCTTTTGGGCACTGGCTCCTTTTCACTTTTGAATGGTATTATCTGACCAAATATGATAAAAAAAAAAACTATAAATTTAAACCCTTTTTTTTTTCTTCAAGATTCTCCTATTTGGATATTTGATTGATAGTGAAAGAAACAATGAATGATTATTCAGGTGATGTGAAGAACAAGGAAGTGAAACGGGGCCCACCGGGGTTCATGAGGTGGCCTCATATGCAGGCGGATCAAGTGCGTGGGCTTGGGCTGAGGGAAATTGGTGGAGGGTTTGCAAGGCATCACCGGGCCCCATCCATCAGGGCAGCTTCTTATGCCATTGTGAAGCCCTCCACCATGGTTCAAAAGATGGAGAATCTTAAGAAGCTTAGAGGCCATAGAAATGCTGTCTATTGTGGTAACTCAGCTTTTCAATATCTTTATATATTTTGTAATGTCAGTTATGAGTTTTATGTGTGATGTTTTATTCTTTTCAGCAATATTTGATCGATTAGGGAGATATGTGATTACTGGTTCAGATGACCGGCTTGTAAAAATCTGGTCAATGGAAACTGCATATTGCTTAGCCAGTTGTCGTGGACATGAAGTGAGTAGTACTTAAAATTCCATTTTTAACCCTTAATTTTAATAATGAGAGGTTGATTTATCATTTTTATGTTTCAAAATCAAATAGGGTGACATTACAGACCTTGCTGTGAGCTTCAACAATGCACTGGTTGCTTCTGCTTCAAATGACTGCATTATTCGAGTTGTAAGATCTCATTAAAAGTATTTATTTATGTATATATATATATATTTTTTCATAATTTCATTTTGGTTTAGTTAACTTTTTTTTTTTTTGACAGTGGAGGCTAGCAGATGGGCTTCCGATTTCAGTCTTACGAGGTCACACAGGGGCAGTTACAGCAATTGCCTTTAGTCCTAGGCTGGGCTCCGTTTATCAGCTATTGTCGTAAGTTTATTCTCAAAAATTACATATTTACCCTTGTTTTGTTAGACTTAGATACAACAACAAAAAAAAGGATTATCAAAATTCAAAAGGTGGAGTAAAATTACTTCTTTGCGCATATTTCATAACATTAATCAGATGTCAAACAAACCCATAAAGATTCACATCCAAACAAACACCCCTTAGTTACTGATTGATTCCCCTATGATTTGAACAGAATGGATATTATCTGTAGCTTTATATGATGTTATTCTATTTTGATTTTGAATTTTTATTTTTTTTGGTGTAGGTCGTCTGATGATGGATCATGTAGGATTTGGGATGCTAGGCATTCTCAATTTAGTCCAAGAATATACATTCCTAAGCCTCCTGAACCTCAACCTGGTTAGTAAATATTCTTTTTTTATGATTAAATATTTTTGTTTTGTTTTATTATAAATGAGTTATTTAGGAGTATGTATGTATGTATGTATACCTTTGTATTGGTAGGGAAAAGCAATGGCCCATCAACATCAAATTTTGTTCCTCAAAGTCATCAGATATTTTGCTGTGCATTCAATGCTAGTGGAACTGTTTTTGTCACTGGAAGCTCAGACACTTTTGCAAGGGTATAATCGGGATTTTCAACTTCCTTTTTGATTTAGATTCTGTTTGTTTATGTATGTTGTTTTCATTTTTTAGGTTTGGAATGCGTGTAAACCTAGCAATGATGATCCGGAGCAACCCAATCATGAGATGGATATTTTAGCTGGGCATGAAAATGATGTTAATTATGTACAATTTAGGTACAAATAAAATTTTTTAAACTTTTTTTTTTTTTTTTCCATGGCTAAAAAAGTACCAATCCTTCTGTCTTTTGATGCAGCGGCTGTGCTGTGGCTTCTAGATTTTCTCTATCTGATGCTTCTAAAGAAGAAAACCTTCCGAAATTCAAGAATACATGGTACTTTTTTATTTTTCTTCATAAAAATTGGGTTAAATACAAGAAAATAGCAATGTATGTGTACTACTTTGTTTATTACAGAATTCTACTTACCTAATTATAACAATATCATCCAAATAGAATGTAATATTCAGTGCTATATTTGGATAGAATTTATTAAGCAGTATGTCCTAATAAGGAAAAAGTCTATAATTGGATAGATTTTTCAAACTAGAATGCCTTAATAATCCCATTCCACACGCTTTTGTTTGAGTTTTCAGGTTTACCCATGACAACATTGTCACTTGTTCCCGTGATGGAAGTGCAATTATTTGGGTTCCAAAATCACGAAGATCCCATGTGAGCTATTTTAAGCCTTCCATTTTTATTATTAACTTTTATACCTTCTCATGCATCTGTTAAGATTAAATGAAAGTAAATTGGCATTTCTTGGGATTGTAGGGTAGAGTTGGAAGGTGGACACGGGCGTATCACCTGAAAGTTCCTCCACCACCAATGCCGCCACAACCACCACGAGGAGGCCCCCGGCAAAGGATTCTGCCGACACCACGTGGTGTTAATATGATTGTCTGGAGCCTTGACAACCGTTTTGTCCTTGCTGCCATCATGGGTAGGTTTAATGTATCTTAAAAGTTTCACCTTTTCTTTGCTTTTTCCCAACAAACTGTTTTTTTTTTATTATATAAAATATGCGAACAATGTTTTACCTCTTGACCAATTTATGCGACTCAAATGAACTATGCATATACCACATTTTAACCAATTACCAGTAAAATATTGCATTTTATGATCCTAATGAAACTCTGGTTCATTTTTTTTGCATAAAAACCGCTTTTTTTGCATAGGTTGGGAAAAAATCAAATCTTGTTGCATAAATGCACATTTAACCTTTAAAAAAGGGCAAATGCTAGAAAGCCACTTGAGTATTGTAAGTTTTCCATGAAAGCCATTTCATAATCTTTTACTTTTTTGAACTATTCAGTATTAAGATAACTATTTGATCTCCTTTACAGAAAAGCCTGTAAAGAGGCATAAAATGTAAGGTTTCTATTATTTACCCAAATGTTAAATGGCTTTAATGAAAGTTCTACAGTTCTCAAATAATTTGGCTCTAATAAAAAACATTTTTTCATATTGGTTCTTTTACAAAATAGTAAAAGCTATCTTTCTTAATATTTTGCCCAATTAGCTTCTATTTCAAGGTGGATCTAGTATTTTTATTTCTTTGTATGCATATTTTCTTGCTGAAGTTGTAAATTTTATGGATTAAAGAAGTCCCACTCCCACCCAAATGAGTTGTTATTCATTTCTATTGGATGCAGATTGCAGAATATGTGTCTGGAATGCTGTTGATGGTAGCTTAGTCCATTCTTTAACTGGTCACAGTGAATCTGTAAGTCCTTTTTATTTTGCAGATTGCAGTGAGTTTTTTGAAAATAAGGTGTAATGAGTTTTTTGTGCCTAAAAAGCTGTAACATATGATACTCATAAGATAAGTCCTTAAAGAGTAACATATATATATATATATATATATATATATATATATATATATATATATATATATAGTATAGAGAAACATATAAAAAGGGGGCATGAAGTATGTTACATTTTCACAAGCAAGAAGTATTCCTAATTCGATAAGATAAAGCTGTGTAATTGTTTTGTAATGATTGTGATATTATTTGTAGACTTATGTTTTGGATGTTCATCCTTTTAATCCACGGATAGCTATGAGTGCTGGATATGATGGAAAAACAATAGTGTGGGATGTGAGTACTTCCTTACTTACTTACATCTTTAAAACTTTATTTATTTTTCATTTTTTCTGTTTTACTAAATGATTTCATTTTGCTTAAAAATTATATATACAGATTTGGGAAGGATTGCCTATTCGTATATTTGAAATCGGACGCTTCAAGCTAGTTGATGGAAAATTCTCTCCGTAAGTTGACAGCATGCAATAATAATCTGTTTCATGTCCATTTTATGCATATCTGATGATTGATTCAGACCCTATTTTACTTGTTCCTTTATTTTGGTTATCATAGCATCCTACTTTCATTTCTTCATATTACAAAATTGTACTTTGAAAAATCGACCCAATTATAGCAAAGTCATCCAAATACAAAGCAATTTCCATTTGTTATTTTTTTAAAAAAAATTGAAAGTAGAATGCTGTAGTTGGGTGGATAAGATTTTTCAAATTACAATGACTTAATAAAAAGAAAAATGATCTATTTATATAAACCACTTAGCTGTTCTTTTCTTGTGATTTATTATTGTATATATATTACCAGGGATGGGACGTCCATTATACTGTCTGATGAGGTTGGTCAGTTATATATATTAAGCACCGGTCAAGGAGAGGCACAGAATGATGCAAAATATGATCAGGTATAAATAAATAAATATTTTTTCATATAAAATATAAATAAAAAGTCAGTTTTTATACTGACACTATATGAGGGTGGCAACCAGTTTTTTCTTGGAGATTACAGGCCACTGGTCCAAGATGCACATGGAAATGTTCTCGATCAAGTTAGTTTTCTTGTTTAAAAATACTTACTATTAATTTTTTTTTTTTTTGGTCAAAATTACGCAAATAATCAATTTTGAAAAGCAGAATGGAATTGGTAGCAACTTTTAAAGTCCACAAGCCAAGTTAGGAATTTTAAGATAATGATTTTAACCAGTAAAAAGAATAGCAACAGCATGAGTTTAATCGATATTATAAATTTGTTGTTTTTAGTTCCTAAATCTTTTTATGCTTTTTGAGAGTTTTCACATTTATCCAGGAAACACAACTTGCTCCCTATCGAAGGAATATGCAAGATCTCCTTTGTGATTCAGGTCTGTTCAAAAGAGATTTGAATTGAATTGGTTATAATAATGTTATCTACAAAATGGTTTGAAAGTCTAGTCAACCAAAATGTAATGATGTATTCAAGTTAAAATGTTAATGATAAATTGAGAGTTGGATTTGTAACATTTAATGATTTATTTAGGCATGATTCCATACCCGGAGCCTTACCAAAGCACATACCAACAAAGGCGGTTAGGAGCTCTAGGGTTTGAATGGAGGCCATCCTCTGTGAGGTTTGCTGTAGGAACCGACATCAGTCTTGACCAAGAGTACCAGGTCCCACCAATTGCTGACCTGGATATATTACTGGACCCACTTCCAGAGTTTCTTGATGCCATGGATTGGGAGCCAGAGATAGAAGTACAAAGTGATGAAAATGATTCTGAGTATAATGTGACCGAGGAATATCGGTCAGGAGGAGAACAAGGAAGTTTGACTTCAAATGCTTCGGGCAGCTTGGAATGCAGTGGTGGAGATACAGAGGATCAAAGTGACACTACTAGTATCCGTAGGTCTAAAAAGAAAAAGATCAAGCCAGAAGTAAGTCTCCATCTCACTTCCACTTTGTTTTAGTTATAATTCTTAAACAAAATCAAAGTGTATTTCTATTACTGCGCTCCTTTTCCTGACATTTTTGCACGCAATTTTGTCAGGTTGAGTTCATGACATCTTCAGGGAGACGTGTGAAAAGGAGGAATTTAGACGGTGAAGAGACTGCAATCAGAAACAATCGAAGCAGAAAGTCAAGATTCGGTCAAAAAGCTTCTAAAAAGAAGTCATCTCAGTCCAAATCTTCAAGGCCAAGAAGGGCAGCTGCCCGAAATGCCCTAAGTTTTCTTTCCCGAATAAGTGGAAAAGCCTCCGAGGGAGAAGAAGAAGAGGAGGAAGAAGAAGAAGAAGAAGAGGAAGCCATAGAAGGCGGTGATTCATATGAAAGCTATTCCAGTCAGCAAGAAACCGAAGCCGGAAGTGAGGAAACCGAAATGTCATTCGAAAATGACCAAAACGGACATTCAAAAGGTAAAGAAATTGCATCCGAAGACACTGGTATTCCCCAAGAAAGTCCGGAATTGCGTATTCCGACCGGAAAAAGACGATTGGTGTTCAAACTTCCGAGAAAACGGTCGGTTGTAGAGAACAAGATAGACGATGTTGCGGGCCCGTCTTCGATAGATGAATCTAGTAAGAATTTTATTGGAAATGGCGAATTTGAAAGTAATGAAAATGGTTTATCGATGCAAAACATGAATCATTTAAGCCTTCTTGAAGGATATAAAGATGGAGATATTAAATGGGGAGGTGCAAAATCCCGTTCATCAAAACGTTCAAGAATCTCCGAACCAATTGCTAAATCATCGCCATGTCCCGAGGGCAGTTTCGTCAATGAATTTGAAAACAAGGAGGAGTTCACGGTTCCCACAAGTCCTTTCGATGTCCAAATTGAAAAGGGCAAAATGGTCAAGTCCGAGCTGGATAACGAGACCCATATCCCGATACCGACAAAGTTTAGAATCAAGTCAAGCGTCCTTTTAAAAGACCAAGATTCTCCAACAAAACTAACGATTAGATCATCGGTACAAGAATCAAGAAACGGAGGAGGAGAAGGTACGATGTTGTCTGACGACTCAACCTCGGACCTTCCGGAAACAAAGCTAACAAATTCAGATGATCATGATCGGGACCAGGATACTCAAGAGACCCAAAAGCCCGATTCGCGGGATAATAAGATGTTTAAAGAAGTTTACAGACGGTCAAAGTCAACCAGGACAAGGGCAAATTCGTCAATTAACGGCATGGAAGCAAGTACATCGAACGCGGACAATCAAAACGAAAGAATCCATGGGACACGAAGGAATGTGAATTTGAGGGGGGTTGTTGATGACGTGGATGTGTCTGTTTCTGAAGACACTTCAAGTAAAGAAAAGTATTCCACGGATGGAGGTGATGAGGTGGCACGAGACGAGGGTAGGTTGAATTCAAGACACACGGTTGGATTAAGATCGACACGAACAAGGAGAAGCGTTGATTACAATCGGAAAAATAGGTCACCAGAGAAAAAGAAAGCACACCAGCTAACAAGAAGCTCATGGTTGATGCTTTCGACTCACGAGGAAGGGTCCCGCTATATTCCTCAGCTTGGGGATGAAGTGGTATACTTCAGACAGGGTCATAAAGAATACATTGAGGGTAGCAATTCAAGAGAGATGGTTCCATGGAGATCGCTCAAGGGAAACATAAGAGACGTGGAGTTTTGTAAAGTCAAAGATCTGGAGTACTCAACACGTCCTGGATCCGGTGAAGGCTGCTGCAAAATGACCCTGCAGTTTGAGGACCAGTCTTCCAATGTTGTTGGAAAGTCCTTCAAGTTGACTCTTCCGGAAGTTACCGGATTCCCTGACTTTCTAGTTGAAAGAAGCAGGTATGATGCTGCCATGGAGAGGGACTGGAGGTGTCGCGATAAATGCCAGGTTTGGTGGAAAAACGAAGGGGACGAAAACAGTGGGGAATGGTGGAATGGGAGGATTGTGGGGGTGAAGGCTAAAGATGCTGAGTTTCCTGATAGTCCGTGGGAGAGGTTTTCTGTTCAGTATAAAGGCGACACTGAAGTCCTTCTGCATAGTCCTTGGGAGCTTTATGATGCTGCTGCTATGGTGTTGGAGGAGCCACGTATCGATGATCATGTTAGAAATAAGCTTATCCGTGCTTTGGCTAAACTCGAACAATCCGGAAACAAATCTTCTGAGGTAAGTGTGCTAAAACTTAAGAGAGGGCATTTTTGTCTTTTGCATTCCTACTTACAATAATGTTAGACTGATTGGGTTTTTTCAACCTATATCATTATTGCAGGATCATTATGGTGTTCAGAAATTGAGACAAGTGTCTCAGTCATCAACATTTATCAACAGGTATGTTATGTATATCTTTTCTAGTAAGTTGATTGGGAAATGTTGGAAATTGATTGAAGATTGTTGTTGAAATTTCAATTTGTTGGTAGGTTTCCGGTGCCTTTGACTCTTGATGTGATCCAATCGAGACTAGAGAACAATTACTACAGAAGATTTGCAGCAATGAAACATGATGTGGAGGTGTTGTTAGAGAACGCCGAGATTTACTTTGGGAGAAATAAAGATAACTCAATGAAGATGAGACGTTTATCAGACTGGTTTACAAGGACACTTTCGTCTTTGTAGCTTTCAATTTTCTTTTTCTTTTTTTGATTTTTTTTTTTTAAAAGCACAGTTTTGTAGAGGAAAAAATGCCAGAGTTTGCGAAATTGGTTGGTGGTTTTTACTTGTAGATAAATTATCATGACTTGCGAATCTCTAGGGTTTTTTTTTTATTTTTTCTAAAGGGCATTTGGCATTATGAAGATTGCTTTGGTTTCTTGGATTTTAGTAGTAGGAGGGTTTATTTAGGAAGATGATAATTGTATAGACCATAGACAGACAAACAAACAAACAGAGACAGATTCTTAAAGCAATCTAACAGAAAGTCGAAACATTTCAGTCGATGTTACGGTTGTCATTGCTTTGCTTTGCTTTGTGTGTTTAATTATTATTATTATTATTATTATTATGCATTTAGACATGTGACCATTTCATCCTTTGTATATTTTAGTAAAAGGAAAAAGGGAAGAATATTTAGATTCTTATTAGTTATATAATTTTTGCTTTGATAAAATCAGATCTCACGGAGCCCAAATGATTTTAATCATCAGTAGAGCTTGTCTTCAAGTGATTTTTATTTTATTTATTTATTTATTATTATTATTATTATGGGGTGGAGGGGTTGAAGAGCATTTTTTATCTGTATTTAGATGGTTTTTTAATATGTCGAAAGAATAATCTTATTTGCAATAATAGTGTCCTTATTAGAGGCTTATATAATATTCTTGGTAATTTGTCTATCATTATATTATGAAAAAGCTCCATGTATAGAGGTAAATTTACAAAGCAAGTTGAAAAAAAACATCAACAATAGCTTGTTTGACTTTGCAAAGTTTATTTGATTCAATAAGGTGGTATTGTGGATGATGTTAGTTTGTGTTATGTTCACCATTGTTGCTTTTTTGGTTGATAGTGGGTGGTTATGGTTCTTGTATTGCCAACTGCTACTGTTAGTGTACGATTTGGCAATTGTTATGATATAGCATAGCATGGTTATTCTTTGGTTAGTGAATATAGAAGGTCCATATTCCTACTTACAAACCGTTGCCAATGCAATGCAATGTTCATATTAATACTACTAAATAATACACCATTAATGGTGGTCATGCTCATGGTTACTTAGTATTATTGTCAAATGTCATACAATCCGAATATGATGTATGTATGTATGTATGTATGTTCCCATCACAACCTTCACCATTACAAACAAAATGCAAACATTAATCCTATGGTTACGTTACACAAAATACAGTTAGATAGATGAACAAAATCCAACTTCCAACCTTCACCAATACAAAATATTAAGGGAGCTTCTAACCGGAAGAACAAAACCCAACTTACTTATAACCTAACCAACAGAACCTTCAATCTATCTACTTTCTAGCTTCACCACTTATCAACTAACCTCCTTTAGGTTCTTCTTAGACCTTAACAGACTAGACTGGAAGCATCATCATCATCACAAACATCATCATCTTGGCGTGTGTTATACATTCCAAGAGGAAATACAGTTACATAAAAAGTATACAACATATTGCAAAGTTTAAGTTCACATGCGTTATTATAATTAAAAATATATTATTATTATTAACACACATCATATGATTTAGCTGAAAAAACCCCAAAAATAAACGTTGTTTAGTGATTTTTGTCTAGTGCACTCACATTTCATTTTCCTCACAACCTGGTTAAAGTGATTCAGACTCTACTAAAATAAGTTATGATTAAAGCAAACTAACTTTAACTTTTCGACACCATTTCACAGATGAAGTGATTCAAACTCACATTCCTCCTAATCATACATTAGTCATCATTAGGATTAGGATCACACTTAAAAATGTCACAAATTTTCATCCACATTTTCCAATCAAAACTCAGTCATCAGTTTGGTTCCTAAAAGTTTTAACTCCTGATTTCTTGTCTCTCAATCCCTCCACCTATGGCCACAGTTGGGATTGCAGCACACGAAAAACAATGTCATACCTTCTTCCCCTCTTGCAGTTGCCTGACATATAAATAATAAATAAAAAAAACACTATTAGCTATTTGTAAATATTTTTTCTGTATCAAGATTTAAGTTATGTTCACATTAAGTCTTTCTATTGAATCAAAAAGAAACAACACCTTAGTAAGAAAGGAAGCATAGCATAGAGCATACACTGTTGAGTTTAAAAAAAGAAAAAAAGTGTTTGTTAATGATACCTGGAAGAAAACAGCTTCTCCATGACCACATTGAGCACATCTAACTGCTTTAGTGCGGGGAAGAGTTGGATCAGCAGCAACATCCTGCAAGACTTGAGTTCTCTCCCCAACTGTATGGTGTACCTCATTTCTGTACACACAGTTGTTATCTGCAACCTCCTGTTTTTAATTTTTAATTTTTAATTACTAATCTGAATGAACTTTCAAGAGATTAGAAAGGGGCATCGTTGCCATTTTTCTGTTTATTCACACAGTTTAATGCCTTGGGGTTTCATAACTCGCTATAAGTTTTGATGAAGCAAAGGAAACAGTTTCAGCTCGAAAATTCAACGTCTTTCTGAAACGCCTTTCAAGACTGATAAACATTTTTAGGGTTTCTAACAAAAAGCTTTTTTCGACTTGTTTAAGTTACAAAAGATACAACGTGTACGACATACGCGAAAAATATTAGGGTTTGCAAAAGGTAGTTGCATGTCACCTGATGATCGCAGTTGCGGCAAGCATAGAGGAGGATCTTTTGGTCTTTATCTTCTCTAGGGTAGAGGATGTTGTTGCTGCGAGTTCAAATTGTTAAAAAAACAAACTTAGACATTTACACAAACAGTTGGTGCTCATGTGTGGGAACGAATATTGCGACTTGAGTTTAAGATCAATGACAAAATGATCATAGAAGAACTATAGTTACCATTCTCGGCAAAACTTCATGGTACTCATCTTGGCTAGATTTGTGGTAAAAAGAGGTGATCTTCGAAATTTATCTCCTCTCGCTCTGAAGCAGCAACTGGTTGAAGTTGGGGGTGAGTGAATGATTTCAAAATGGGAACCGGAGAATGAGACGATGTAATTTGGGGAACCGGTGAATTTCGAAATACAATTTTATTTTTTTCTAAAAGAATAATGTAACTGTTGATGTGTTTTGGGTTTTAACCCATATTTTAGCAACTCTAAATAAGATAAACAAATTCAGCCGAATTTAATACCAAACAAAAACACTAAATACTAGTCTAAACAACCTCATAAAATTTCAATAGATTCAACATATTAAGCAACACATAATAGATAAAACTTTAACATAAAAGATTAAACAAATTTCAACAGAAAACCAACTTAATCAGATTAAACAAGTTTCAATAGAATAAACAAAATCCAGATTTCAAATTCATCATTCATGGCTTATATAAAATCATAATGAGCAAACATAACAATACAATACAAATCAAATTTCAGCATAAGTTGTAAGTTGCAAATAGATTTCAGCTTCATAGGTTGTAAGTTGCAAACAAAAATCACTCAAATCAGATTTCTGATTCAGGGGTTCAAGAGAGAGGTCGAGAGCCTGAGAAGGCAAGGACTTACTAATGCGTCGGGATTCGAGAGCCTGGCCGATCTTCCTTACGAAATTGAGAGAATATAGGTTAGGTTAGCGATTCCTTGTGCCGTCTTCACGGATCGACTAGGCGGTAGGTTAGCGTGTGACAATAGTTAATTTCGGGTCAAGTCAAAGTCAATCAATGTCAACAAGTCAACCTGGTGACTCAATTAGCCATTGTATACTAGGGTTTACGTTATGTAATTACTGTTCAACTCACTATTTTAATAAGAAAACATCAAATGGAAAACTCGTGTGTTTGAATTTCCTTAGCCTTGATAATGCTAAATGATGAACCAAAGCGATAAAACACTATTTCACACTCATCGGGAGTGTGTAGGACACTAAAACATGGCTTAACGGGGCTTACGGACCTTGCGTTGCGGAGCCAAACACTCACAAATGTCACACACGAAACCTCTCTCAATCGTTTTCACTCTATCTCTCTTTATCCAAAATCTCTCCCAAATCTCTCTTTGTATGAGAAATCTCTCCAAGTATGTCAAATCTCTCCCAAATCTCTCTTTGTATGAGAAATCTCTCCAAGAATGTGAAATCTCTCTTAAATCTCTTTTTGTATGAGAAATCTCTCCAAGAATGTGAAATCTCTCCCAAATCTCTCTTTGTATGAGAAATCTCCCCAAGAATGTGAAATCTCACCCAAATCTCTCTTTGTATGAGAAATCTCTCCAAGTATGTTAAATCTCTCCCAAATCTCTCTTTGTATGAGAAATCTCTCCAAGAATGTGAAATGTCTCCCAAATCTCTCTTTGTATGAGAAATCTCTCCAAGAATGTGAAATCTCTCCCAAATCTTTCTTTGTATGAGAAATCTCTCAAAGTATGTCAAATCTCTCCCAAATCTCTCTCCATATGAGGAATCTCTCCAAGATTGTGAAATCTATCCAAAATCTCTCCCGAAACCTCTCTTGAAATTTTTATAATCAATTGGGGCATCCCGATACTAGGCTTGATGAGGAACCACTCAAAGAAGGGAAAAATCTTGGAAAATACCCCTTTAGGACCGAAGCCTCTCCATAGGGGCCAAGTCCTCCTTGGACCGAGGTCCCAAGAGGCCAAACCGGAGTCCACTTGGCTAACCACAACAGCGAGCCGTAGTCAGCGAAGCGCAGCCAGCGAGCCGCAGCCACCGACCGCAGCAGGCTTCGCTCCAGACCCTCCTGACGAACCCGCCCGCTAAGCCTCCTCGGACCGCAGCTCCTTCCTTCTTAGATCCTCCTCAGCAGCCGAGCCACTCCGGTTCCAAGGCTGCTGATGACCGCACCCTTTGCCAGAACTTCAGATTTCACCCTTTTTCACCCGGTTTACGACCCCAACTCCGTTTTAAGCCCGTTTTTCATCATTTTAACGCGAGATTTTCTCCAAAAATTATATTTTAACATATAAGACCCTAAATATTCATAATTTAGACATATTTTTATGGAAATATATATATATATATATATATATATATATATATATATATATATATATATATATATATATATATATATATATATAAGAATAAAATCTATTAAGTGAGATCATGAGGTGGAGTGTGAATTTCACCATAATATTTGACACAAACAACCACCCCATACCCATTCCCATGACCAGCCATTGTACTCCCCACCATACCTGGTCATTCAAGAGTACTTTCCCCACCTTTTGACCAGCCCCAATCATGGTCAAAGGCTGAAGACTCTTACCTCTCCTCATTCTCACTCACTTGCTCTCATTTGACTAAAGATCAAACACCTCTTTTCTCTCTAACTCCCTCTCACAAAAACGAGATTTCCAAAGTTTTTCTAGCTTTTCTCCTTCACTTGGTAAGTATAATTTATCCTCCTTGTGATAATTACACTTCATTCTACTCAAATCTTTGATGGCTTACACAAACTCCATCATTATTGTGTTAGATTCTTGAATCTTCAAAGCAATCCTTCAAGTGTTCTTGAGTTGAAAACTTCTCTTCTTCAACATTCAACCACTGAAATCACTCAAGGTGAGTTCATACCCCTGTATTTTCATGTTTTCTTAAGTTTTAAGGGGGAGAATACAAGTTAAATCATCAAGAACATAACTAAATTCTTCTAACAGCTTTCATCAGAAAAGTTTCACCCCATTCACGGACTGTTTTGGACAACTTAAACATTTTAGTTTTCAAAATTGTTTTAGGTTCATGTAGATCAAGTTTTTAGCTTTAAAATGACTACTTGCACATCTCCATACGATGTTTCTACACTTTATGGTGATTTTTACAAAACTATCTATCATTTCAAACATCAATCCAGACCATCTGTGATTATGGACTTGTTCACACAAGTTAGAGGTCACTAAAAATCATGGGAAAATTTATGAACAAACTAGACTCATTTTCCAAACTCTCAGAATTTACGGAATTTGATTTGGACATTTGATGATTTTTCTACAAATTTTCTAAGAACAGTTACAGAAAATGTTATCAACAGAAAAACACAATCAATTTCATTTCACCTTGTAACATGTTGAGCAAGGTATATATCTTTATGTGATTATGTGTTATTGCAAAATATGACATTTTTGCCTTAGTATATAGATATACATCAGTTAACAAATGGATTTTGCGAGATAAAGCATAGAAATAACAATTTGTTATAATCAAAGTACATCCATTACATACAAACGTTTGAATAAACTATGTTAAGTATAGTTTATGTACATTACTACTACCACCCTTGTTTTGATAAACTATAATAGGTTTAGTTTATGATACATTACAAAATATATATATTTCAAAAGGGTACAATTATACAAAAGAAAATTTTCATTACGTTACATGTAAATTCGTTAATGACTTTGTGAGACATTCGCTTCGCATTACTTATAAGTCCTGTATTGTAACCAGAGTCTCCTGGAGGGAGAGCGTGATAGTTGTATATAGATCTATATTGGGATTGACAAACCCACACCTGAGCTGCTTGCAACAGCTAGACCGGCAGGTCTGTGGTGACAAATGTCATAACAGTTCCGACGCCTGAAGAACGTCGTTTCGGGCCAACTAGGTTATAGTATGGTTATAATAGCTCACATTAAGAATTAACAAACATAGAATTTACGGGGAATTCATGTAGATCAAACGAGTTTACGTGGAATTAAACTTGCATCATTTTATCATAAGTATAACAATTTACTTGTGCACCTCGGTCTTTGGGTTTTAAGACTACTTTTACATTTTAAGGAAAATATTGGATTTTTCTGGAACAAACACTACTTTTACAAGAAAAAGCTTTTCATAAACCGTCTACTAATGCTTATGAAATCACCAACCTTTGTGTTGACACTTTTTCAAATAACTTGTATTCTCAGGAAATCACTAAATAGATAACCAAGTGCTTTTGAGGATGGGACGTTAAGGCGTCAAACATTTCACATTTTGTCAACATATTGTAATTGATTTGGAAACATGTAATTCATACAATGATGTAACTTTTTCAATTATAAATATGTTGGTTGTGTTTGCTTAAATCACTATTGCAATTGTTGTTATGATACTATACATGAAGTCCTCCAGCCCCGGACGTTTCCGCCATCCTTGGTTTGGGGGTGTGACAGATTGGTATCAGAGCACGGTTTATAATGAATTAAGTATATCAAACAACATAGGATATACAAACTATAAACACATTTGGGACTAAAAGTCTCTGATTTTAAAACATTTTAACGGGTTATACTTTTAGAAAATAAATAATTTTCTCGTTTAAAAGTATTCCTACATGCATTACATACTCGCGTAGTGTCATAACTAGAAGAACATAAAGTAAAAGAAGAGGAGTTGAACGCTGCGAGTATGCCTTGGTATGGGTAATCAGTTGTTGGACGGATATAGCCTGATCAACTATATATGTCAAAGAAGTGACTTACTCATACCGGGGGATAGTCGTAGGGGACAAAAAATCTAATAACCTAACTTCACTCTATAAAGAATGCTCTAAGAACCAAATCTAAACATTTAAAATACTATAGGAGTATTTGTATGTTGCTATAGCGCAATGTTATTATTAACCATTACTTGCTTCTTACACCCCTATTCTCGCGCAGACGACATGGCAGGATTCCACTTACTAGGAGATCCATATTTTCCCAATCAGGTAAATGTCGGCTGGATTGAAGAAGAGCCCGGAGAGGTGATTGAAGAGGACCCCGAAGAGGATCCCGAAGAGGAACCCGAAGAAGAAGAAGAGTAAGACGATGAGGAAGACATGGATGAGGATGAAAGTGAGGAAGAACCAGAGGAGGAAGTCTTCAACCCTCCTTACATCTCCAGGGTGTCGGCGAACCGCTTTGGCCACAACGGGCCTGAGCCCCGTTAGGCAACCATGATCGAGAGGTGGAGCCGACAACAACACCAATGGTCACCATATGGCGACCAACGAGGTTACTATGACCTCAGCCACGGGGGACCGGCTGACAAAGCCCTCCCCGTCATGGTCCAACACATCACGAATTTGGGGAACCAGAGTAGGGAAATGGCAGATCAGGTTCGAAATCTCAATGTTGTTATGGCAGCCACCGATGCACACACCAGGGATTTGGAGAGGGA